ATCACGCCCTGCACTCCCGCTGGTACCAGGCCCGGGATCTCATGCTCATGAGCCACCTACAAGATAACATCCAGCATGCCGATCCACCAGTTCAGGTAAGGTGGGAAGAGCCTCTGCGAATGGTGAAGAGCGAGATGCTGAGCTCCGAGCCTTTCTTTGGGCAAACCAGTTTGACCAGGATAGTCACCTGTCTGGCCGATACAGGTTTAAGTAGAGACTTGATCTTTCCCAAGTGCCAGCATTCTCTGTATGTCTTGCATCTTAACTCATACTTTATACTGTACTGGCGGTGTTTGATTCAGCCAACTTTACTGTACTACTGTACACCTCTTATGGAGCATTGTGAGCTCATCTGGGTATGAAAATTTGGACAAGTTCTATTGTCTTCTAGAAGCTGTTGAATTCACAGGAAAAGCAGACACTCCAGTGTGGCCTGTTGGGACTTGATAGTGGGACAGCTGGTCTTGTTGAGGGATAAGATTAGAAGCCCTCCGATTTGTTGAGTGCAGCATGAGAGCTGAGAGGAGCACAGGCTCAGGAGAGAGGCTGCATCTTCTGTTTTCTCACTTAAAAAAAGGTGGTGGTGATTTACCTCTCTTAAGAATGCTGTGAGTCCAAAGTATTGCTGAGCTGTAACAATAGATGAAACTTACCAACAATTGTGAGGGTGATGCAGGACTGGGGGAATGTCCTTTTTCTTATAAATAAGGTTGCCACCAGCCAGGACAGAAATGAAGGCAACTGACGACGGGAACAGAGCCCTTAGAACTGTGGTGTGGCATGTGGTACATACAGCTCTTGCTGTCAGGAGTCTCCTTTGAATGCAGTTGTTACTGAATCATCCAAGCAGCTGTTTACTGAATGACTTTTTCCAGTGAGGATTCACAGCTCTCCACTTGCTGGCATTAGGGTTTTTGTTTGGATGCTGACATGCGGAGCACACTGTGTGGCACTAGGGTGCTCGAGTTGGTGAGGTTTTTGCCTTTCAGGAGGTGCTCCTTTGACTGAGGTGCTTCTCTGACCATCTGATTTTACAAAACTCTGTGGATGTTTTCACTTAATTACTGCAGTTTGAGGGGCACTTTCTTGTGCATGGATTAATTCCATCTTTATACGAGCAGTTTGGTTTACAGGTGCAGAAACTAACTCAGTTCAGTGAATGTCCAAGAAATGGAGGGTTATTAGTCCATTGTTCCCAGATGTGCCTTGTCTGGATACATTGGCCTATAGCTTGGTCTTGTACGGCTCAGTTTTTAAAGTTGAGACTCTGTACATGAGATTGATTGATTGATTGATTGGTTTGTTTAGTTGTTGTGGTGGTGGTTGTTGTTGTGTACCTTCAAATCAGATCCAACTGGCACAGGAGGAGATTGCCCTTCCTCCAGTGGAGCATCTGGTGGATTTGAACTGCACGCCTTTCCTTTGGGATTGGAGTGCAGCTTCTTGCCACTAGGCCACCAGAGCTCCCTCGTGAGAGCTTTTTAATTGTAAAACTTCTAGTTTTTCTAGTATTTCTGACATTTTAGACATTGTACCTATACACTGTCAATTTTTACCCTATCTCCATACAGTCTGTGCCTTGGCTAACATTTTTTCCTTACACTTCCATTTGTACTAGTAAATCCTATTTCTTTGCTAAATGAAGTGTCACCCACTCATCATACATTAAGTAAATATGTAAATAAAACAGTCACTTCAAAGTTACTTTAAGCCTAAACTCTTAAAAATGGAGTTAATGAGGTATATATAACTTGCACCACACAGATAATTTCCAGTCCTAAGAAATGAAAATGGACTGTGTGTGTCTATTTAATTAAGTCAGTGTGGTGTAGAGTGCCTGGCCCACCTGGTCATGTTCTCATCTGTGCTGTGACGTGTGTCTTGGCGTGACACGTCAACTCTTACTCATGTCACGTCTGGATGTTCCTTGAACTCGGTGCGCACATAGCCAGCAGCTACGCGGCACGTCTACCTGGGTCCTGTGACAGTGTCAGGAGTAACTTGTTTGAACCCAGACTGCTAGTCTGCCTATCCCACAGAATCCTGTTTAAAATGTCAAAAATAAAGTTGGGAGAACTTTATGGCTTCTGATTTCATGGTAAAGGATCAGGGTGTGTTCTGTGTCAGCAGTGATCCTTGCAGCCCTGTTGGGTCCTGATTCTTGAGTTTCCATCTGCCTCTGCTGCTGTTTTAACCCTTTTTAAGTGTTCAGTGATAGTAACTGCGTGCACTATCCTCTAACTGCATTCTTCACTTACTTATTTTTAGACACAGACTCAGTACCCCTTGGCAATAGCTTCCATTCCTTCCACCCCTTTCTCTCTCTGAGCCACTAACAAGCTTTCAGCTCTGGACATTGCCTCTTCTAGATCCTTGCTTTAAATGGAATCATACAGTTTTTGTCCCTTTATATCTGAGTTATTTGACTCCATATGTTCCTATTGGCTCTGTCTTTTGATCATTTGTTAGCTCAGTTCTAGCCACGTTGACCCTTTTGTTCCTGGGATATACCTGGACCAATTCTTCCACACACTTTTATCTTTCTTTTTTCTAGAATATTCTTTTCCTTTCATACATATGCAGGAATTGGTCTCTTTCTTTAGTTCAGTACTCGAACATTTCTGTATAAAATGGCGAGCTACTACGCCACCTCTACCATTTAACTCTGTTCCTAACTCCCTTGTTTTATTGTCTTCCTTTCTCTAACTTAAATAACTAGTTTTACGAGTCACTCACGCACAGTCATCGAGTCATTCTGCCTCGTAACAACCCTCCGTCAGGTTTCTGAGACTGTAAATCTTAATGGGAGATTCCACCCATCCTCAGGTATATACCTGAAAAACATCTTGTATTCATAGTCCATAGTTTCTCCTTAAATAACATTTTCTTCTTGTTGTGTATTGCTGCCAAGTTGGAACCAATTCACAGCTGACCCTCCAGCAGGCTTCCAGAGGCGGGACTCACACAGGAGATTGCCCATCGTCCTCCCGTTGCTTTCTATGGAGGGCAGCAATGGCTGTTTTCTTCTCTAGTACATAAGCTGCTGCTGAACATAAAAGGTGCCCGGTGTATATTGGTGGAGTTGTCTCTCACCACTTTGCCCTCTTGTCCTCAGATCCTGTACAACCGCACCATGGTGCAGCTGGGCATCTGTGCCTTCCGCCAAGGCCTGACTAAGGATGCTCATAATGCCCTGCTGGACATCCAGTCAAGTGGCCGGGCCAAGGAGCTGCTGGGCCAAGGTCTACTGCTCCGGAGCCTTCAGGAACGCAACCAGGAACAGGAGAAGGTGGAGCGGCGCCGGCAGGTGCCCTTCCACTTACACATCAACCTGGAACTGCTGGAGTGTGTCTATCTGGTGTCGGCCATGCTCCTGGAGATCCCCTACATGGCCGCCCACGAGACTGATGCCCCCCGGCGCATGATCAGCAAGCAGTTCCACCACCAGCTGCGGGTGGGCGAGCGACAGCCCTTGCTGGGTGAGTGTGGGACTGACTCTGGGCTGCAGTGCCACCAATTTTGTTTGCTTGTTTCTCGATTCCTTTAACACTTTGCCGCAAATGACGGCGAATGTGTTTCAAAGCACAGTTGTCAATTTAAAAAGTGTGTGGCAACATGTTTAAAGAAAAGTTAAAGGGAATAGTTTCTCCACCAGATGACCAAGTTTGACTTAATGACCACCTCATGTATAATCTAAAGGTACCTTAACTCAGCAGTGTACTTGTCTTAGACTGTAGAGACACTCCACATTCAACTTTCCTTCTCTTCATTCTTCCTGTCAGTCTCTGTTTGTCAGTGTTAGGTTTAAGATTATAGACAGCTCCCCGACATCTTCAGAAGTGCTTTGTTGCCTACAGAATAAAGTGGTCTGATCCCAACATTGTTTTTACTTAATATAAACTTATTCTTGCCTGGCACTGCTCAGTGTGTGTTACAAATAATTCATTTACCCTCTCTATATATTAATAGCCCTGTGAGTAAGTGTTCTTATTAACCTCTTTGTTCTGATGAGGAAACTTTGGCTCTGAGCAGTTAAGCAGATGACCCAGGCTCATTCCACTACTGTTCTGTGTCCTCCTCTTTTTACCTTTCCTCTCATATGCGTTATATCCCAGCCACATCAACTACAGTAGACCTGGAATCTAACATTGGTTCCCCCGCAACCTTCCAGACAAAGAGGTATCTTAGGAAGGAGAAATGGATGAGGCCCCACTGTCGCCTGACTTAACCAAACAAAGGAGAACATGGTCCTCTTGCTAACATTTGCCCTTTTGATACTATTTTTCTGAAAGACCTGAACATCTGTAGGTTTGGTGATAAGTTTAGATTTGGTGTAGGTTTGATCTGTTAGGTGATTGGTGATTTCACTAGGAAAGGACTTTGAATTGTGCCCTTCCTTTGTGTTTGGTCCATGGAAGTACTTGTGAGCTTATATAAATGAGGCAGGTTTACTGCCCCCCGCCAGGTCCCATTGTAGAATTGTCCTCCATTGGTTGTGTTCTGACATGGACCAGTCATATATGAGTGTCCCTCAGGTGAATTTTGTTTGGCTCACATGATTAGATTTTCTTTTGTTTCATTTGAAAAATTTTCCATGAAAATCTATATTTCCAGCATCTCTTCAAATTTCGGTGACTCTGGCGTCCCTGGACCTGCCTTCCAACAGGGCCGAAGTTGCAGTTTTGAGGCAGAGTTCTCTGGTTTTTCCAGTTCTGACCTCTTTCTGTTATTTCACGCAGTGGGACCAAGAGCTAGTTTATCTGCAGAGCTGTCGTGTTGTTTGTCTGGTGTAAACATCTAGCTTTACTTCTTCCAAATGGGAAAACTAAAGCCTGAAATGGTCCTGCTTTTGCTTGTAGCTGGCCTTATTTGTGTTTCTGTTTGGCCTGATCTGTGTGCTGTTGTGCGTGCTGTTCCTACCTGGGGCCCGCAAGTGCACATTTCTCAGCTCCTGCTGTGTGTTCCTGATCTCAGAGACTGCACTTTCTTGCACAGGTTGTGCCTGGATTTAGAGTGACTTAGAGCCTGCAGTTAGGAACCAACTGGAAAGCCTCGTCTTGATCATCTGATGCTGCTGTAATAAGTACATGGATCTGTGGCCCCAGGTTTCCAAGGCCCTGCCTCATTGCCCATCTTTCAGGTCCCCCCGAGTCAATGAGGGAGCACGTGGTTGCCGCCTCCAAGGCCATGAAGATGGGAGACTGGAAGACCTGCCACAGCTTTATCATCAATGAGAAGATGAACGGCAAAGTGTGGGACCTCTTCCCCGAGGCTGACAAAGTCCGCACCATGTTGGTTAGGTGAGCAGGGGAGGAGGCCAGAGCAGGTGGGACAGGAAACGGGGACTGGTCTCTCCTCCTGAAAACCTCCTTTCACTCTCCCAACAGGAAGATCCAGGAGGAGTCACTTCGTACCTACCTCTTCACCTACAGCAGTGTCTACGACTCCATCAGGTAGGATGGGCTTTGGGAAGGAAGAAGGACTCAGCTTTGTGCCTGAGACTCCTGGTTAATCTCTGCTCTCTTCCTCCTCCCTCTCCAGCATGGAGACGCTGTCTGACATGTTTGAGCTGGACCTGCCCACAGTGCACTCCATCATCAGCAAGATGATCATTAACGAGGAGCTGATGGTAAGAGCCAGCGATGGTGAGTGGGCAGGTAGAGTCCTGGAGAAGGTGGATGGTGAAGTCCAGTCTGCATCATGTTCCTCTGCCTCGCCCCGTCAGGCCTCCCTGGACCAACCAACACAGACGGTAGTGATGCACCGCACCGAGCCCACTGCACAGCAGAACCTGGCGCTGCAGCTGGCCGAGAAGCTGGGCAGTCTGGTGGAGAACAACGAGCGAGTGTTTGACCACAAGCAGGGTACCTATGGTGGCTACTTCCGAGGTGAGTGGTTCCATTCCAAGGTCCTGGAGCCCCCACTGTTGTTCCCCTGGTACCACCTCTCCCCTCTGGGACCAACACCTCCTCCTCGCCTACAGATCAGAAGGATGGCTACCGCAAAAACGAAGGCTACATGCGCCGTGGAGGCTACCGCCAGCAGCAGTCACAGACCACCTATTGATATCTCTGCTTCTGTCTCTGGCCTAAGCAGACGAGTCCTAAACCAGACCCCGTCATTAAAGGTCTATTTAAATGGCTCTGATTTACACTCTGTATCTCCAAAAGTGTGATAGACTCATTTATTTGCTAAACTTTTGCCACATAACATGCCAAAGGTAGTGAGAAATGACATTTCAAAATACTCAGTGCTCTTTGACATGTTACATAATATTGTAATAGTGAGTGGTAAGTTTTAACACTTATGGGGGAAAAAAAGTATTTGACTAGGAGGTGACTTGAGGGATGAATGTCAGGGAAGGCGTAACGATGGCAGTGAGGGTGGGACCCTGCGGGTCCTTGAGTTAATGTAGACCATCTCTCCCCATCCATGACAGTGCAGCTCCTATAATTAACAGTCAGCAATGAGAAGCTTTTAGAGTAATTGGGCATTACCAGACGTGTGATTGTTTTTCTACTAATTCTTGATTTTTTATTTTATGAAAATGGAGGTCTACAGTAGTTTGGTATTTTGAAAAATCACTCTTCGAGACAATTTGAGAACTGTCTAGGCAGAGGAAAACAGCATTGAAGGACATTTCAAGAGAATTGGTATAGTTGATATAGTACATTCAGTGTGAAGTGTGTATGCAGGAGATAGATGGCTGTATGCTGGGACCATCTCATGAGCATTTTACATGAAGCGACACTGGAAATTGTTGGAAGCAGCAAAAGAGTTAAAACCCATGTCAGAGTCAGAGATTGTGAGGGGAAGGTTTGAAGAGAAATGGGTGTAACAGGTTGATAAGTTCCTGACTGAATCCGGGGCTGGGTAGGTCATAGGACTATTACCAGGAAATAACGAGAATGTTCAGGAATACAAGAACAGCAGTGTGTGAAGTAGGCTGATAATGAGGATGGTTTTGCAGACATTGACTTCGAGGTACCTGTGTAGGGCAGTTGGATGTCGTGGTTGAGAATAGACTAAGCAGCTGTAACAAAGAGACTCCATTGATTCGAGCAAAACCCTTTTGTCAGGTGGTGGGCGGTGTGAGGGTTGGCCACTGTGCTTTGCAGGATTGTCCAGGCCTCAGTCTTGTTTCTTTACCATCTGCTAGGTGATTGCCCTTGTCTGTGCAGTTAAAACAGGCTCATCAACCTGACATCCTCATTCCAGCCACCTGTGAAGGGTATAGAAATGACTGATCCCATTGATGAATTCTTCTCCAAACTGTTGGTTCTGAAGGTGCCATGGATTTGGCTCTGTCTGATGGTGACCATGTGCATTATCAGTACAGACCTCTGCTCAGTCTTGTGCTGTCCTCACATCTTGCTGTGCTAGAACTGTTGTAGCCTCTCTCTCAGTCCTTCTCCTTGAGGGTCTTGTTCACTGAACCTCTACCAAATGTCTTTTTTCCCCCAGACTTGTCTTTTCTGATAACATGCCCAAACTATGTGACATGAAGTCCAGCATGGCCTTGCCTCCAGAACTCTTCCAGAACAGATTTGATTGTTCTTCAGACCATCCGTGTTATAGTCAACATTCTTCACCATCACCACAATTCAGTGCCACCAGTTTTTAAATCTTTATTCATTAACCAACTCTAAAATACATACTAAGTCTTTGACGATACCATGGCTTGGGCAAGGTGCACCTTAATCATCAAAGAGACCCTTTGCTCTTAAGCACTTTATAGAGGTCCTTTATAGCAGATTTGATGAATGCAGATATTTGATTTTCTGACAGTGCTTCCATAGATGTTAATTATGGATCCAAGTAGAATTAAGTCCTTGACAAACTTTGATCTTTTCTCTGTTGACCATCCCAGAGAAGCCTGAAGTGCCTTTAGCAGAGTTTCTAATATTAAAAGGCAAGAACACACTGAGAGATAATTACAGAAGGAAAAGAATGGAGATTAAGGTTTTAAAGTGAGTAGGCATAGATGGTGTGTATCATGGGTAATGTTTATTATAGTCAACAGCCAACAGTTTTGGATGACTACATGGTAAGATACTTGACATACTTTCATTTAATCCTCACACTGCTGGTGCTGTTTTATAGATCAGGAAACTGAGGTCCAAAGAGGCTAAGTGATTTGCTGGAGGTCACGTAACTAGGCATTCAGGGAGCTAGGTTTAAGCTTGACTTCATGATCCTGTCTCTTAATTATTGTACCTGGTGCTCATTGTTTCCAGTAAGTGTAGAAGAAAAAGGGTCAGAGACTCCATTCGGCATACAAGTGGTGGGAAGCAGAGTAAGAAGAGATGGCATTGGCTGGAAAGCCTTTATTTTTCTGAGGTTGTCCGTGATAATGCTAGATTTGTCCAGGTTAGCATTGTTGGTTTTTTCTGACTGAAGGCAGAACCATTGAGTTTTAAACTGAGCACTAAGAAAATAATTTGAAAACTAGGATTTTTTTTTAATTAAAAATAAGTAAATATAAAATTTTTTTTTTACCTTTCAATAGGAAAGTAAATCAAGACTCCAAACAGCATTTTCTATAATGAATTTAATAAATTCTGAAGCTCAGGCTGAATTTGAGCATATTAGAGGATTTTTTTTTAAAAATCTTATAAAGGGAGATAAAAGCTTAGATCTAAGCAATCATCTAAAAAATATATTCTAGGGAGCTCTGGTGGCCTAGTGGCAAGAAGCTTTGCTGTAATCCCAGTGGTGTGTGGTTCTAACCTACCAGATGCTTCGCTGGAGAAGGATGGGCAGTCCCTTCCTGTGCCCGTTGGATCTGACTTGACGGCACACAACAACAAAAAACTAAAAAAACCTGAAGTCTCTCTCAGGGAGGAGTGATAGGGAATGGCAAAGGACACACTGACAAAGGAGATTAATCAGAACTGGCTTTGACAAGCACTATGGCAATTGGACAATTAAAACAGACTTACAAGGGGGGAATAAAGAAGAACGAACTGGGGAGGAGGGTAGAGAAAATAGTGCAACAATGAATGAATGAAAACCCAAAATCTCTGTAAATGTTCATTAAAATTAATAAAATTTGTTAATAAAAAAGTCCAGTTAAAACAACAACAAAAAAACCTAAAAAAGTTCACAAAAAATATATTTGAAAATTTGAATCAAATAAAAATTGGTTTGTGAAAGCAAGCCCAAATTTACTAGGTTTCAATTAATTTTGAAAGTTTGCTCAATATCTAAGCACATTTAGAAAAAATAAGTAGCGACCTTTGTGAAAACAAGTGCAGATTAACCAGTTTCTCTAAAAGTGCTTCCGAAATTATGTTGGCAAAGATGGAGTAAGCTACAAATAAAATTGGGGAAATAGAAAAAGCTGCCTGTGGATTCTGAAAAGTAAACAAAGCAGGCCTTGCCTCAGGTCATGCTGCATGATGGTGCAGGCAGCAAAGCTCAAAAGAGACAGCTTATCTTGGATCTGAGCAGCCAGACAGGAAGGGGACTCAGCGGAGAACAAAAGGAAACCCCATCCCTTTCTCCATTCCCAGTGGCTCTGGGCAGTTGCGGAGCTGAATCACTGGGATTTGAGGAGCTGAAACTTAGGAATCAAAGAACCAGAAGGGAACGCTAGTGTGGAGGGAAAGAATTAAATTAAAAAATGCATTTCTTCCGTAGTTAAGCCCAATCTATTCTGAAAGATACTCATTGAGATGTAGCTGTTACAGTTGTTTTTCTTACCAGAGGACTGGAAAAAATGAGCCACTGCAGAGGGTATGTATGGGGGGGGGGTCTCAGGAGTTTTTAGGTGCTGTCTAGGTGGTCTTCACCTCAGCTACCCTGCATATGACAGACTCTTGCCCAGTCATGCACCATTCTCACTGTCTTATCCCATAGAGGAGAGAGCTCATGGAAGTGGGTTCCTGATTCTGTGTATGAACTAAGACAAACTTGGCCCACCTCTGAGGTACACTGAAAAACAAAGAGCCATTAACTTTACTACCACCAGATTCCTGGATGTGGGATGGACCCTCACCAGAGCAGAGCAGTGGCTTTCAGAACACTCCACATTGAACCCACGGCTCACAGAATGAGACAAAACTTGGGCCCTGGGTTAGAAAGTTGATTCCCTACTAAAATGAAAATATTCTCTAGGGGATTTTGACAGAACCTAAGCAAAAATATCCATGATAATAGACAAAATTACCAGGGAACTCTGGTGACCTGCCATCAAATCATATCCGACTGGCACAGGAGAGGGCCCCTCCTCCAGTAGACCATCTGGTGGATTCAAACTGTGCGCCTTCAGGATTACAGTGCAGCTTCTTGCCACTAGGCCACCAGAGCTCCCTCAAAATATTTTTAATTGTGATATGAAAGTTTACACAACAAATTGCTTGTATTTGTAACAATTGTTATACCCTCAGCCATGCTCTTCCTCTTGTAATTCTGATATCCATCCATTAATCCTACTCTTGTGCCTTTTGTTCTTTATAGCCTTAGGTAAATGCTGTTCTGACCTGTTAGTCTAAGGAATATCTTTCTGTTCCCTTTATAGGGAGCTCTGGTGGCATAGTTCGTAGGGTGCTGCTCTTCTAACACAAAGATGCTATCTGGTGATTCAAATCTACCAGTGACTCCAAGGGCAAGGACAGGGCAATCTGTATGATCTATAGCCTTGGAAAGCCTTGACCTGGGGAAGGTCAGCTATGAGACTTCCGACACAATGGGAAAGAGACAACTGCTTTACAATCAGGGAAGGTGTGCACTAGGGTTATATCCAGTCTCCTTACAAACTCAGCAAATTGCTGTGTTTATACTTCAGTAAGCATAAATGGATGTCAGAAGAGACTCTGAAAATTGCATTGGAGCGCAGAGAAGCCAGAGTAGAGGGAAGAATTCAAGATACTAAAGAGTTGAATAGAAGATTTCAAAAGGCAGCACAAGACAACAAAGTAAAATATTACAATGAAATGTGCAGTGAGTTGGAGTCAAAATCAAAAGGTCCGAACTCACTCAGCATTTCTTAAGCTGAAAGAACTGAAGAACGAATTCAAACCTCGAGGTGCGATAATCAAGGATGCTTTAGGCAGAAAATTAAA